ACAGACACAGTGTAAGATTAGCTGGTGAACAAAGTGAAGCAAATAACATCTCAAGAGAGTTGGTGGAGACCAAAAACAGAGCTAAAAGAAACTGAATATTTGGCTTAAATTCATAGAGTAGCATAAACCATCCTTTTAAAATGTTATCAGGCCATTAAATTACTATCATCAGTTGGTTTCACTACCATTGTAATGTTTCAAGGGGCAAACTGCACCCACCAGCAGGCCAGAAGGTGCATAAGAAACATGATGAAAGGGTAGGAGTTTTGTCAGGTTTCACTTTTAGTTACACTACACTAGGGTAAGGCGCCAAAACGACGTGGTTGGTCCTAGGAAAAGATCATGATTCAGGTTCAAATAAGTGCAAAACTAGTCATGTAACTTATCTTATGTATGGGAGGTCTGATAAAATAACTCAACGTTGACTTCTTCACACAAACTCTGGTCTCATGGGTGAAAAGTAATGTATTGTTAAGAATTTGTATCAGTCTTCATACTATGTCAATCAACAAAATTCCTTCTTTGGTCCATTGACATTTACTACAGCCGTCCTTTGATTACCACCGTCCAGTGATTATATCGGTGAGCAACCAACTGAATGTATAATAACAAGCCTGAACCTACTTGTACTTGTAGGCCTCTGCTAACCAGATAACTGATAACAGCCATTTAAAGGACTGATATCATTCGAAGTAGGTGCTTAACAACACCTCAAAATGAATGCTAATGTCTGCCAGATGTAAGTGTAAGTAAGCAACTGTTTGCCAACACGTTCACTGTGTCAAAGTTGATAGAACTGATTTTGTGGTAAAAGCTTGTTTCCACTGCCTGTATCTAGCAAAACATTTTTATTGTAGGTTTAAGAAGTAGTGTTTTTTTTACATGTGTGGTGTTGCTACTTTTAACCAAGTGTTGTATTATGGTAGGGACATGTCTGGTGGTTTGCATTATGTAGTACAGGTGTGTAACACGTAATTCCCATATGCACACACACCTCCCAGACAGCAGAAAAGAGAGCTGGTCGATGGGCGTCTTTCCCTCCACAGCGTACGTCTCTCCTGCTTTCAGCTCCACCACCTTGCTCTCAAAGGCGCCTGCGATCTCCTGGAACACCTGGACCGGTACGCCCAGCGGCAGGTACACCGCCTGGTAGAGGGAGGTCATCTCCTCGCTGCGTATCCCCTCCTGGTGCAGCCGGTACAGCAGGTGGCAGATCTGACCCAGGCAAGCCAGCAGCAGGAGGAGGTTCCAGGTGAAAACGTCCAGGCCGCACATCGTCATCCAGCCCCACAGGGTCAGGCACCCGAAGGCTGGAGTCAGGAAGCCGAAGATGAAGAGGCACCCGTAGGCCCCGCTGCCACCCATGTAGCCCAGGACCAGCATGGTGTTGCCCAAATGGTAGATGGCTCCCTCTGTTTTGTTGGTCCAGCCATCGCAGAGAGGAGGGAAGAACAAGCTCTCCAGCAGAGTCAAGTTGCTCATGTTTGTCTTCAAAATGACAAGCTGAGGAGAGGCTTCTGATGCACCAAACTAAAACAGTAAATTCAACTTCTCGTCCAATGAACTCTGGTGCTATTTATGTCCCGTCAACATGTAGAAGTAGATGTTTTGTTTGTGAAAAAAAAAAAAATGCCGACAGGAGAATGTCAGAAGTGTGCTCCCTTGGCGTGCCGTGGAAAATTCCTCAATGTGAAGAAGTTCTCACGGCTCTGTTATCGAAACACAGCTGGAATGGGTTTCTTCTGATTCTCTCATTATCCCTTCCTCTCCTCAGTCTTTCCCTCCCGAGTTTTCCTGACGTCTCCCTCGCTCTGGCTATTTCTCTCAGCCACGGGCCTGCAATGTCGAGCCAACAGCTGGAAGAGAAGGGATAAGGGAGGGTGGGCGTTGATATGGGCCCTAGAAGGATAACCATGTTTGGAATTGAAACCCAAGGAGGAGAGAGTGGTGGACAGAAAGCAGGCCTGCTACTTAACATAACAGAACGAGAGGGGGAGAGAGAGGCAGGAAACGGGAGAGAGGACAGGGACTATAACAAATATCTGTGACAGGGACTCAGTGGTACATACAAAAAACTGCTCTTACTTTGCCTGAACTTTGAGTCCAGTCTTCTGTCAGGAGAGCAGCTCGTCAGAGCATATTTAGAGACACGGAAACAAGTAGGATGATTGCACAGGTCAGATTTCAGGTGGGCCTATAAACACCAACACCCCTCCCATATCATGCTCTGCCCTCAGCCAGGACCACTCTCCTCTCTTTTAAATACATACATTTGAAATTCAGCAAACAACTTTTTAAAGAGGCCCAATTATTCTTTTTGGGTTATTCCCTTTCCTGTAGTGTGTTATATAGGTTTGTGTGCATGTAAATGGTCTGCAAAGGCTAAAATCCCCACCAGGAGTTTTTTTCCCACTCACTGCCCCCTTGTTTACTTCTGTAACATTATGTAACACTTGTGCTTCTATTGTCTAGCGCTCCAACACATCATACTCGATAGGCTTAGGGACGGGACATCTCTTGACCAATCACAGAGCTGGCCAGCTAGCCAGATCAGAGTGGGCTCTGGTTTCAGACAGAGGGTGAAAAGGTGTCAAGTTTCACTGTCAAAACAGTTTGACAAGCAGACAAAATGATCTAGAATACTTGATACCCTAACCCTACTAAAAAGCCTAACAATTCCAGGGAAATACAATTACCCTTGTAATACATTGGCTGGCATTAAGAGGATAAACAGTTACTGTAAACGCTACTGCAGAGTTGCTGTAGCTTAGCATTTCCAGCTGGATTTTTGGAAGTGTCCAACTAGATGTCCACTATCAGGCACACTTCAGCAACACTGACCCACTACAGGGGAAGAATGCAGATATGCCAAGTATTGACTTTGCAGGGGTAGAAGTTATTTTAGGCCTAAGTGCATACCGGGGACAGCAACTGGGGGGGGGGGGAAGCTTTGGCTGAGAGAAAGGAACGCCAATACAGAAACCAAGAATACATTTGCAAGTGCATTAAATCGACATTAAAACTTGACAACCCGTCTTGTTGCATAGGACTTTTATTCAACATATAGAATTTTAGACAGACATTTTTCAAATTCAGAAAACTGTTTAAAAAACGATCACAGAAAGACAATCGAGCCACCAGAGCTGAAGCGCAGCGTCACATTTCCCCTCCAGTCGAGGTATAAATAAGGAGGGGGTGGGAAAGAAGAGGGGAACACCCAGGGTCGTCTTGCACAGCAACACACTGCAGGAGAAAAAACAAAAAAGCTATGATTAAAAGCATAAACAACCTTCAGTGTTTGCAAATGTATAAAAGGCTTATAATAAACCCAGAGATCAGAGCAAACACTGGTTGTACATTCAGTGAAAAACATGTTTAATGATTTAGCTGTGTGGCATAATTTCTAAGTAGTATTTCTTCCAGCCTAGTGCTTCAACGTTCTGCAAGAGCGAGTGAACATAAACGCGATGCCAGCCTGCCAATTGAGCTGCTGAAATGTGAAGCGAGCCGCACAGCTGCAGGCATGTTTCATGTGTGGTCACGCAAGCACACAAGACAGTTGCTCCATTTCCCCCTTCATCCTCACACACCTCGCAGCACACTCATTACATGATTTTCTAGTTTGACACTGCAGTACGTGCAAAACAATGGAAGAAATCAGCATTAGCCAGGAGACAAAGAAAAGAGGAAACTTGACACTGTAAAGCCTAGTGAATACAATGGCTTCATTAGTGCTACTATTTGGAGTTAATTAAATTAAGTTGGGCATTTACATGGCTCACAAAATGGCAGATGCTCACTTCCACCAGACTGATTTGATTCAAGTTGACCACTTCGAGCAATATAACTATTATCAAAGCACTTATATACTAACAAAGGACTGGCTTACCTAAAGCCAGTTGAGTAGCACTTGAAATGTTTTTGCTCTATGAAACCTGATGTACTTATACGAGTATATAGAATTACCAAGCTAGTACCACTACATGTTTTTAAAGCTCGGTTGGATGCTACAAAATCAGATGCTATTGGTACCTGTACATGTGGTTAAATATGTAAATTGTAATCCCTGTACATTTTGCTGTATGATGTCCTTTTGTTTGTTCATGTTTTTATGTCTTCTTGTGGAACCTACTGCTGCAGGTCTCCCTTGAAAAAGAGATCATTGATCTCAATGGGATCTTACCTGGATAAATAAAGGTTTTTGAATTGAATTGATTCTGTTTTCTTCAAGTTTGTATTTTGTTGGTCGAACGCACTTATTGTAAGTCGCTTTGTATAAAAGCGTCCAGCTAAATGTAATGTAACCTAAAGTGATCAAGCTACATTTGGCAGCAGTGTGCCATCAGTACAGTCTAATGCAACAACAACAAAAAACAGGACTGTACAAGTTCTGTTGGGTATATTTTTGAAGCATCTAATGAAATGGAGACAATATATAAAGTTTAGAGGTCACACAAAGCAGATTTTTTTATAATTGCATCTTTTAGATTTACCAAACGTTGCGTTCACTGTGTGCATCACAGCCATTGATTCACTTTTAAGTGTTGCATTTCTTTTTCAGACTTTAAGCAGCCAGTTTGAAACAAATGAGGGTCAGGTTGTGTTTTGAAGGCCTGTATGGCCTGCAGGAAGTCTCATTAGTATCATAACAAAAAGGTAATTGAGGTGAACCGTTCATTAATGCAGCGTTTGCACTACTGCAAATATCTCCATTCTACTTTTAGCCATGCTGCTGCGTCTTAAGAACAGAAAACACAATTGACTCTGGACGTTTATGGTGAATGTTCCCACATAAAAGCACATGTATTCACCTGACAACACAATCATTCTCAAATGATACTCGATTATAATGACTGCACTGGTGTTCTAGTCTGTCTTGAACACAAAGGTGAATCGGTGACAGCTCAGGTTTACAATGAGCCCAGCAGGAAGAATTATACTTGCAAATAAGTTGATAAACATGCAGTTTTGATGCTTACCACACACACAAAATGTAGTAGTTATATCTTGAATCCAAGAGCCCCTCATGCAGTCCTTGTGTGCATCGATCAGCTCAGTGCAGCTTTCCGCTCCCTTCTCAATGATGCTGCAGGAAAATCAAAAACTTAAATTAAGAAATGTTTTGTTACAGAGAGAGAGAGAGAAGCGGTTTCATTCTTTGGACAGTTACTTACCAAGCATCTCTGACTTGCTTAGTCTCTGGACAAGCACAGCATGCCTTTCAGAGGCTTCTTCTGCTCAGGGGCCTCGGTCACAGCAGGAGCCTCCAGGCTGGCAGCAGACCCGGTCGACATCTTCAGGCTGAAAACTATAAAATGTATAGTTATCAGATGCTTTTAATACCTTGGGCAGCAGACTTGAAACGAAGGCACTGACATTAGAGAACAGTGTTTTCACTTTGATGTTGTTCCTGGGGCTAGAACTACTTTCTAAAGAAAACAGACAAGCCCCTTGTCAATTCACAGAGGCTGACCTTCAGGATAGGCAGAAGGAGCTAAAAGGCATTAGATCTAAATCTAAAGTTTGACATTTAATAGAAAAACAGCTATTAAATAAATGTTTAGCCACAATAAAATGGTCTTGGACAAGGTGTAATGTTACATACAACCCAACTAAGTATGCTAGGTCTCCCTGTACAAAAGACTGCTTTTCGTTTTCCACATTTAAATCAGTGATGTGCATTGTATTGCTGAATCAGTTAGGACAGAAGGTTGGACATAAAGTATTATATCAAATGTGTGAACAATAATAAAGTTGCTCCATATATCCGTTTTAATCATTGCAGAGCTGCATATTACTTACGTTTTGCAATTATGTAAAGCATAGTGGAACCAGGAAAACTATTTAGCAACCAACAATTCAAAGAAATTATAAAACCAATCCACAAAGAAAGTACAGAGCAAGATTATGCACTCTGCTTAACTAGTATTTGGAAGAACAAAAAAGTGGATTCAAACAAAAGTAGGTAATGATTAATAATGTTTGAAAGCCCTTAAGTGACACTGAAGGGTTGGACTGATGTAACGTTAGCTTAGATGACAGCATCAGCACAAATGCAGCACAAAACACGTGCATTTTGAAATGATAAAAAACCTCTATGATACGTTCAAGTAGAGGAAACACCTGGACAGAAACATCATGTGATTTGCTGTACAGCTTTAGCCACAGACAGCATAAAATGGCTTTAAGAGACATTGCATAACGTTCAGTTGCTAACGGCTGCTAACACACACGTTTATGTAATGCGGTGTCATGGCGGATAAATAATGCATTTAAGGTAACAGAAAGCGTAGTGTATAAGTTAAAACAACAGCTGGGAGATCTTCGTCATGTTACTTACTTGTATGGAGGCAGGAGGCTCAAGTTAACAGATGATTTCACCTTCAAAAAGAAAGTAACACGATGGTAGAAGGCTCACGTGTTCGCTTTTTATACAAAGTCACGTGATTAAAACCGGCTGCTAGAGGCTTCTGGGAAATGTAGAAATATTCTGTCACAACGGCTGGAAGAGAGTTAAGAGCTAATAATGAAGCAAAACATGCCTCGACAGAAGTCCAGAGCATATGTTTATATATATATACACATATATACAAGGTACGTTTTTAAATATTACGTTTTATTGTGATTCCTTACGAGAAATGCTGTTTTCTTGGCGCATAAAAGTTTATTTTTTACCTTAATGAAAACAATTAAAAAAGTCAAATAATGTTAGCTAAACTAGCTTAAAGCTAACATTAATAAACTAAAGTTATTCATTTCTCAAACTCCTTTTTTTGGTGGAACTATTTCATATATTTATCCCTTTTGAAAGTGAATCAGTTAATCACCAGTTTCCTTATTCTATTAAACATGAATCTCAAATTGGTTTAATTTATTCGTCTAAGTGGGTTATAAAAAAGTGAGCCTACAGTAAAGCTAATGTTGTAATTTTTGTTAACAAATGATGGACAGGACATTACAATATAGTAGAAATAACCACAAAATAATTGTAGTCAAACAAAAAATGTAATTTACAGTTTAAAAGACTACATCTGTACAACTCAATACAAATAAACAGAAATGACTTATGATGTGGATTTACAGAATTGATATCAAAATATGTAAATGTTTAAGTGCGTTTACATTGTTTTGATAGAAGAAACATATAAAGAACAATATGAGAGAATTAACATCAGCTACATCACATACATACAAAGGCTGCACGATATATCGTGTCGTGACGATAATCGCGTTATGCGCATGCGCGATATTCATATACTTTTTTTTAAATTCTTTTTTTTAGGACGTCCGATATTAAGTAGGCAAATTAATTCAAACACGTCATGTTAACATTATTTTGCTGCTTGCTACAAAAGGAAAACGTGTGCGGCTCTCATGTCAGGGGTACTTGAGTGAGTGACATGCAGGCTCTGCATGCACAGCAAACCACCATCACAATCATTCTTGATCAGATCACAGCAGGATAACCGAGCTAGCTCAGCTTGTTGCTCTGATAACTTTAGATCCAGAAGTCCGTGACTAAAATCCTTCATCCGGTTAAATATTATTTAAAAAAAATACCAATTGTATAGCATGAAAGTTCAAGAAAGGATGGTTTGCGGACAAAAAACACTGTCTTTTCTTAAATTCCTGTATTTTTTCACATCGCAATATATATCGCACGGGAAGAAAATATCGCAATGTCAGTTTTTTCCAATATCGTGCAGCCCTAATTAAATACTGCTGTTTTGCAGCTACTTTGGCATCCTGTGATGTAAAATGTATTTACTGGTGGGAAGAACATATACACTTCAGTGGCTTGGGAGTTAATACTTATTACTGCCCTATAATACTGAATAAATGTGTTTTTTCACATGTCTACTGGGTCTACAGTGCGTCAGTAAAGCAAAGCAGTGCGTAAGCAGGGGCACTGAGTCACTTATAGTTTGAGGGCCAGCTGTGTGCTAGATAAATGAGCAGCTAAACATATTATTCATTTTCTCAATCCTGTGTGATGGATATGCACCTCCAATCGAAACATACGCAGTCTTTCCACAGGAGTTGAATCCATATAGTTTGGTAAATGCTAATTATACAAGAGGCAATTAAATACCTTTTTGTTTTTGTGTCTGGAACGTTTGGCACCTGGAGAGGACCACGTGAAAGTCCTGATCGTCTGCCATCTCCTCTTCCTGTGTGCATAAAGCAGCGCCAAGGAGAGAAAAAAGTGTAAGCACCCTTTGTCTATTTGTATTTAATCAGAGTAGGATATGCAGCTAATACATAATCTCCCATGTACTGTATACTCTAACAAGCGAGAACCTATAAGAAACAAAAAACTCCAAAGCAATGTAAGGCAGTGCTCAAAACTAATTTTTACTGGATCGCATCGTAGCTTATGTGATAAAGGATTGTGACGAGGACAAAGATAAAAGAGACTTTATTTTTCATCTAGCTATACACAGGGCAGTACATAGAGGACTTACATCGTGTTTCCCTGTCCTGGTGGAAAACAAAATAATGATCAAATTACCATAAAGTGCAAAACAACAGCATACAAAAACGGCTGAGAAACATATAAGACGCAATATTAGAAAAATCTAAATATAATTAGAGTAGATACATGTGAAGTCATCCGAGGATATTTTTGTGGTCAGGAACAAAAAGTCTGCATCTACGTTTTTTGCAAAGAACAAAGCAAAAAACCCATGCTTAGCAACACGGACACGTCACTTATTTTGGTTATTGAGTACCACTTTACCGGATCAGCTATGTTCTTAAGAGACTTGAATATTGATTTATTGGTTTGAACCTATGGTTTGAACACTTACATTGAGAGTATATAAATATGTTTCTGACATGTGCTACCTCTTGTGGTCGTGTAAGTAATAACATATTTTTAACCAGGAGGACCACAATTGTTTCCTAACCTTACCAATGAGCAGTGGCGTTTTTATATGTACAAAAGTGGTGGGGCACAAAAAACTTAGATGTCTATAAGCTTCTGCAGTGAGGTTCATGGCTGGTGAGGCACTGGCACTGACTCTTCAGGTTTACAAATATTATATTTTGATTTAGGTCAAAATATAATATTTGTAAACCTGAAGAGTCAGAAGCTTTTTTAGTCTGATGCTTCTATTAATTTTGAAACAGTTCAAAAAAGTAATTTTTATTTCATTTACATATTGAATTGTTCTCTCTTAGTCTTACCTTGACTGAAGATTAAGTCCATTTGCCTATCCTTCTGGACAAAAATCTCTATTACTTTTTTGTAAAGTCCTCCTTATCTTCTTGTAGTTTCAAAAGTCTATCATAAATCTGATCTAATCAATAGATTTATGATTAGAAAATTATAAAAGTAGGGTAGACATGTGGATATTATCCGGCTGAACAAAACGTGCATTTATCTAACAGGTTTGTTTCCCACAGATCTTATTTGGAGCTATTTTCTAAAATCCTATGGAGAAATCTCATTGCTTTTTTGTCTAGGGAAGCCATGCGCAGCTTACTTCCGGGTTTTAGGACGCCTCACTGCAGCTCTCTCTCCTCCTCTTCACACACCACACTTTTCGCGGCACACGTACTTACAGCCAATCAGCTCTGAATGATGTGAGATGACGTATGGTGGGGATGGCAGCACTATGCCCCTATGGTCATTATTTTTTGCCACACACATTAAATAGGAAAATACTCTGAGCATGCGCAGTGTAGTTTTTACAGTCACCGTTCACTTAGACAGTGAGAGGGAGGGGCAGGATCGGGTTTTGTCCCACATGGCTCTAAACAGCTCAATAGGCACACACTGTAGACACTAATTAGAAGAACACAGACTAAAACAGCAATGTACAGACGAATCAGATGATTAAACACGATCTTAAAATATATTTTATATATTTATATTTTTTTTTTGATAATCATTATTTTTAATACTTTCTGCTGACACTAGGTGGGCTTTGCCCCTAATGACCCGTCGCCACTGCCAATGAGTGTTTTTGTCTCTTTGCCTAACCAGACCATAACCGTATCAGAAAACACTTAATTCATAGTTTTTTAAAAGACCAGGAAACCGTTATTTAGGAAGGCAATGAAAAACCAACCTTTTTGTTAATTTGTTGTCATTCTGTGGTTGCAAATTGAGCAATGCACCTTGGATTTATTTGTAACAAGTACCTGAATTAAATCTAGAATAGATATGTTATACAACAATTGACTAAACCCCTTAATCCTCTTCAGCGTCACTATGGCCTGAAGACTATTTCCCAAAGACTCTGAACGGTAAACAAAACCATGCCAGTGAATTTGATGTGAATATAAG